CCTTCTATCTTAATACTTCCTTCACTGCTGGGACAAAATACCAACACTTACAACTTAAAGAAATACAAGTTTATTTTAGCTCAAGATTCAATCCATAGTTGGCTGGCAAAAAGGCAAGATGGCATGACAGAGGGACAGTGCTCAAGGCATGGCGGACAAGAAACAGAGCTGAGGAGGGGAATGGAACTAGGAAGGGAGATATACCCTCCTGGGTATAGCTACAGTGAGCATCTCTTTTTATCGGGTCCCACCTAACATCAAGCCAGCTATAAGCTCCTATAATACAATCACTGCCCAAAGTTTCCACCTATGAGGCTTGAGGGGGGCATCTAGATATAAACCATAATATTCCTCCCCCGGCCTCCCCAAAGCTTGTGCATTTCTTTAGGCAAAATACACTGGTCTACGTCTAAGAGTCACTAAAGTCCTTACAGTTTCAAAACTGCTGAAAAGCCCAAGTTCAAAGTTCCTTCTAAGACTCAAAGCAAACTCTTAGCTGTGAATGCCTGTAAAAAATCAAAAAGACTTAAACACTGCCAACATACAATAAATAACACAAGGAAAACATTTCCCTTCTAAAAGGGAGGAATAAGGGGACAGAAACCAAAACATTAAACCCTACAGCTCTGTGTCCAGCACTCCAGGGAAGTTGTGACCAGATGCAAGCTCCAAATAGCTTGGGTGAAGCTGCTCCTACAGTATTGCTGTCACAGCTCCTCTCTTGGGGCAGCTCTACCCACTGCCTGCAGCTTTCCTTATACATTCCACATTCCCAGATTCTCCAACTTCCTAAGGTCTCTAATGCACTTTTGGCCTCACTTTCACAGCTTTACAAACTGCTTTATCAGAGGTACACTGCCTAGCCTTCCAAGCCTCCTTCTGAAATTTTAGGGGAAGCTTCCCTGACCCCCAAACCCTCACGCTCTGCATGCCTATAAAACTAGCACCCTGTGGACAATGGTATGGTCTGCTGCCAGCTTGAGCAATACCTTGTAACACCACTGCAGAGTTCTCCAAGTACCTGAATGGCTGAGTGTTGTGAATAAAATCCTAGGGAATCAATTCGCTAGGTGGCTACTCTTGTTCTGAGCAGAATGCACTGGAGCTTTGAAAGCAATGTCTTTCACTTTTGCAGTGTTAAGCATGGTAAGGGTCTTGCTCAGTCCTATGATGCCTTCAAGCCATTTTACCTACTGTCGTGATCTAAAATACTTGGCAGCTTTTCAAAGCTAATCTCTTCAGTAATGAAGCTCTCTTCTGTTCCCTTCTTTGTGGCAAACTTTAAAATTTTAAAATCATTCAGTTGCATTGCTTGTTCTTGATTCTCAATGCAAAGCTGGCTAAACATACCCAACAATACCCATACCACAGCCTGAATATTAGGATTCCCTGAAATTTCCTTCACCAGATTCTTTAGTCCATGGCCCTTAATTTCAGTTTCTCACCAAGTCTCAGTACACAAATAAAAGGCAGACAAATTTCCTGCCAGAGCATAATATACATGGCCTGCAGTCCAACTGTAAATTAGTCCTTGTTCCCAGCTGAAACTTCTTGAGCCTGGTTTTTACCATCTACTTTCTTATTAGCATTTAGATCTTCTGAGTTGTGATCAGAGTCTCCCATCAAACTCAGCTTACAACATTCTAAGGTTGCTTCGCTAGTCAGCATCTCAAAACCTTTCCAAACTCCTCCAAGCCAGTTACAAAGGCTTATGAACCATATGGTCAGGTAGAACTAAAGTAATGATTCCATTCCTCTGATGCCAAAATCTGTCTAGTCACTTCTTCACTGCTGAGACATGATAATTAACACCCACAACTTAAAGGAGGGAAGGTTTAATTTTGGCTCACAGTTTGTAGATGTTTTAGTACACAGTCAGCTGGCTCCAAGGCAGAATGGCACAGCAGAGTAGCATGGCAGAAAAGAGCTGCTCACAGGATGGCAGACAGGAAGCAGAGAGTATCAAGAGAGGGACTGGGGAGGAAGATATAACCTTTGAGGTCATGCCCATGGAAATTTGTCTCTGATCGGACCGCACTTCCCAACACCAAGTCAATTATAAGATTCTATAATCCGACCACCTTCCAAAGGTCCCACCTATGATTCTATGAGGCCTGAGAGAGACATCTAGATAGAAACCATAATACCCTTTGACAGGAAATTTCCTGGAAAATGTATTCCACCAAAATAAGGAAAGTAAAGAGACAGCTTTGGATCACAGAATGAGTGAACTAAAACAGAAGGGAGAAAAGGATAATCTGCAGGTGAGTGAAAAGAAATTACAAGACAGCAGCCATGCAGAAGGCTGGTTCTTAGGCAACCAGGGTAAACTAGAACAGGAAAACAGAGGCTGGGGGTAGCTCCAGAAAATTGTTTCCAAATAATAAAGGTAATATATTATCAATGTGTTTAACTGTTAGAAAGTGATGAAAAGTTCAAATATATATTCGTAGTGGGCAAATAGAAAACTGAAAAAATGAACTGTAGTGCCGCCCACTGGCAATAAAAGGCCTAAAACCTCTATCAGCTGGAACTCATTTTAAAGCCACACTGTTCTGTAGGTGATCATAAGACAGCAACACCCCTTCAGATCTAAGTAAGCCCCATTCATTTCTCCCAGTGAGTCCTGATCCATCTTCTCTAAAAGATATGTGTGGCCCTCCTTACCTTCTTACCTACAGCTAAGGCCTTCTACAAGCCAGAGGAAAGGATCTTGTTGAAACTATGAACAACTTTAACATAATACAGGAGCTCAAGGAATATCTACAAGGTACTAAATGATTCAGGAAAAGACATTCCTTAGATAACCACATTTGCTGCCTAGACCCGTTTTCCTTATCCTCAAATCCCGATAAAAAAACAAAACAAACAAACAAAAAATCCAATCTATCTCAACCTGACTATTAGTTAACTTTCCTACTATCTCTCTTGACAGCTACCCTGACTAAATAAACTCTTAGATTTTCTAAGTTCCTTGTCTACAGGTAAGTTATTTTTACTACTCAAGTCACTGACCCTCCATATACTGTCTCATGTGACATGGATGACAATTATTGTTAAGAAAAACAAGATATTTTCTAGAAAGGAATTAAATCTATAGTCTGGCTCAATAATATATCTAACTAAACACTGATCTTATAAAATATGACCTAATAATATTCAGAGGATGGAAGGGAGGCAAATGGAGCGGTAAGGATGTATGAAAGAGCTAAATCTTCCCCTTTTTCATATTAGCACACATCAATATTTAGAGGTAAAACTGAAAGTTTCTAAGAAGTATCAGAAACACTATTTTTTTTTTAACAAATAGATGATAACCACAAGAAAAGGCCAAAGGCTTTACATCGTTACCTTATGGGAAGAGACAGGTTATTGGTAGAACAAGCAGGAAACTGCTGTCTTTTATATGCCTCATAGAAATAAACAGTCTTTTAAAATGTGCATGCAAGTAAAACATTAATAAAAATGTTTACAATAGGATATAGCAACAGTACATGTATTTGGATCTTTACAGTAAATCAAAATATTTTTTGAAACAGGATCTCACTGCACAGTTCAGTCTGGCCTCAAACTTGCAGTGATCTTGCTGCCTCAGCCTCCCGAGTGCTGGGATTAACAAGCATGTGCGGCCACACCTGGCCATTCTAAATCAAAATGTATGATGAAAATATAGGGATAAGCATTTAAGGTTTATGCAACACCCAAAGGTTAAAAAAAAAAAAGTGTGCACTGACATGTACTGTAGGGCTAAATATATCAATTTAACATGACCTATTTAGTAAAACTATACACTTTTTAAGATATCTAAACAGTGTGCAATAAATATTTGCACATATTTTGGACTATACCTAATCCAAATTTTTCTTTGTAGTAGCGTAACTGAAACACCCTTTTAATTAAATTACTTTTTCTCTGCAAAATGTTCTTGTCTCATCACTTGTTCAGGCCTTATTTTTGCCACTTCCATTATGATTTAATATTCTCTTTTTCTATCTCTGCTATAAAGAGAAGTCACCGTGACTTCCCAAAGTGATGAGACAGGCTCTTGTTACACTTTCCCTAGCAGCAGGGATGCTTGCATGCAAACGCTCACACCGGCCCTACCACAGGTGCACTGCTGCCCCCTCCTACACAGATGCTGCATCTGCCCTCAGAACATAAGAATTAACACAGAAAACCTTCTGTGAGCACAATGAAAACATATCCTGATGGGTACATTGGCTTAACCTGCATTTACCACCCACCCACCTACCTACTGTACACAGGGGACTTAAATGTAAACTAAAGCCCGACCAAGTAAACAAAGAGTAGCTACTCAACCGACAAACCCAACAGGAGTTAGCCCCAGGAAGGATCTCTACAAATGCCATTTAATGAAAAGGTGGTGATAAAGTTGGAGCTTGGGAACAATAAAACGTGAAGGATTTTTAGTACCAATTTACAAAAGACACAGTAGTTTGAAATTCCTTACAGAAAAAATGTTATTGAATGCCTAAGGATAAGATGAAGTGAGGAATGTCTCATTTTAATCTCATCTTCTTATGGAGATACTTTCACAGAACTAATTAATATTTGCAAAGTGCTTGTAATAAAATCAAAGCATGTAAAGCATGTTAGTCACAAATCAAAAAGCAGGTGAATACAGTATAAAAATAAGTCACTGCCTGATTAAATGCTCAACTAAATTTCAGTCTCTGAAATAATATTCACAAAAGTTTATATCAAACACTAATAGAAAACATTTTTTAAAAAATTAAGATGCAAAAGGAAAAAATGGAAACAAAGGTATTGTAAATAGGGAAAGGTGAAGGGGGTGAAGGGAGGACAGGGGAATGAGGAAAAAACAAAAGAACCAAGATACATCATGTAAAGGTACACAATCCTGATGGTGAATGTAACTGCACTGTTTACATTACATGTACCTATAAGCTTACTGGAAAAAAATTAAGATGCAAAATAGCAACCCAAGTTCTTTGCAAATAAACCAGGGTACAACTTACGATATTTACGGTGAATTTCATCTATTTCCTCTTCTGTTTGGTCCTTTGTAAAAATCATAGCCTAAAATAATCAAGAAAAATCCTTAAAATTACACCCAAAATGATCAAATGGAAATTAATAGTGAAAACATAAGAATATTAAATGTGAGTGCTTATAATGGAGAATAATAATTCTTTATCTGTTTTCTACAGATCTAGGAATATTTCCTATGATTATCACAAATAGTATATATTTTACCCATTTTTTCTCATCAGTAGAAAATGCAACATTGCTTTAATTATAATATGTAAAGTATTAACAAAACAACCTATTGGATTTACTACTTTCATATCTCATTTTCTACATTCATTAATGTAACAGGTAATACCTAGAATTTAAAGGCTGAAGACATTAGTTGATCAGTGATAAGGTACATATATCTCTCTTCTCTTTTCCACCTAAATTCTCTAGGTCAAGAAGTAATAACACAATTGTTAGTGTGTTAAATTTCTAATTCTACCTTATAAAATCTCAGACTTAGAAGATAAGTAATCTAATTACATAATTTATGCTAGACCCCCACCTTACTGTTAGCAAAAAGGCAATGACAAAGTCAAGAGAAATCCCATTTTTCTCTACTTCCCAGAGTAACTTACTTCCAGAAGTAACTGGTTTCCTTACAAACAAATTGGAGAGCCCAAAATGCTTCCTGCAGTGTCATACGACACAATGACTACTTCATTCCTTGGAATAATTTCTTCAAATTTTGGGTCATCAAATTAGAAAAAAGCAACAGTGAAGAATTTTAGGTCTTTGACTCCCTTAACAACTCAGTAGAATTTCATAATTTTTATAATTATTCAATATCTCCACTAATTATAGTTCATCATAGACATGTAAAATGCCAGAGCTACAAAGCATCTTAAGGTCATGCAGCTCAGGCTCTTGGTATTACAGATGAAGACTCTTAAGGGCCACAGATTAAATAATTTACCGAACACAACCAGCAAACAAAGTGGCTGCTATCACGAAATCAACCAATAACAAATGCTGGGGGGCTGTGGGGAAAGAAGAACACTGCTCCACTGTTGGTGGGAGTGCAGACTGGTGCAACCACTGTGGAAATCAGTATGGAGATACCTCAAAGAACTAGGATTGGAGGTCCCATTTGACCCAGCTATTCCCCTGCTAGTTTTCTACGCAAAGAATTTAAAGAATCAAACCACAGTGATATATGTGCACCCATGTTCTTAGCAGCACAATTTGTAATAACTAAAACTTGGAAATAACCCAAATGCCCATCAACTGGAGACTGGAAAGAAAATGTAATTTTTTAATAAAATGGAGTACTATTTCAGCCATAAAAAATGAAAAATTAGAGACATTTATAGCTAAATGGATGCATATTGAGATGATACTCTTACGTGATATAAATAGGACACACATGTGTAAATATTGAATAGTTTCTCTGGTGTGAGAAACTGAAAGTGTAAATAAGGACTAAAAGGTATAAGAGATAATGTGAAATAGGAAGAAAAGGGACAAAGAGGAAGGGGAAATGGGAGGGGTAGGGGCAAGGAAAGAAGGCAATGGAATCAATATGAGAAAAAGAATAATGGAAACAAAGTCTTTGTAGATAAGTGGGGGTGGAGAAGATGAAGGGAGGTCAGGGGAATGGAGAAAAAATAAAAACCAAGATTGATTATATAAAGGTACAATTTTCCAACAATGAATGTCATTTTATCATATACATTAAATATACCAATAAAATTTTTTTCAAAAGCTCCCCAATACAAAGGCACAGGCTCACTCTAAAGGACTCTAGCTCATGAACAAATTCTACTGGGTGTTGCATTCTGTGCTGCAAGTCTGCTAACTACGGCTAAATATCGAGTTAAGAATAAGCTGCAAATAAATCTTGATATTCCACATAAAAATGTGTCCTAGTACATTTCCTACTAAACAGATTTAATAATTGCTGGCTGTAATTTTGGTAGACTATTACATTTTTCTTTCTTTTATTTCTATCCAGATACTAAAAAGAACCATTAACATACACTTTCATTGAGTTTACTTGCTTCAAGACGCATCCTGGTCTTCTCCATGTTTTCAATTTCTTCGACTATCTCAGCAGCTGTTAAAATAAGAACATATAACTACTATTCATTACATAGTTTTGTACTACATGGTCACTGTACTACATACACTACAGCTATGTCTGCTGTGAAGAGCAGAGGAAGACGGGTATGGGATATATGTGAACTCCTCCTAGCTTTGTACTTTTTCTCTAAAGTCGGGTATCATTTTATAATAAGTTTAAAAAAATAAGAACATGGAGCCAGGTGTGGTGGCAGACACCTGCACTCATAGTTAATCAGAAGACTGAGGCAGGAATATCATAAGTTCAAGCCCAGCCTGGACAACTTAACAAGACCCTGTCTCAAAACTGAAAAAGTAAAAATAGGGATGGGGATGTAGCTGAGTAGCAGAGCACTTGCCTAGCATGTGTGAGGCTTTGAATTCAATCCCCAATACCAAAACAAACAAACAAACAAACACACAAAAACAAAGAAATGACAACAACAAACATGGGAGTTAAAACAATGAATCATCTATGGCCATACCACCCTGAACGTGCCCAATCTGATCTAAAACAGTGAACACACACATCTGAAATGCAACCAGAAGAGAAGTCAAGGAATTTTGTCTTCTCTTCTGAATACACAGGTATACAATACATAGTAGTCCAAGTGGAATATAAAAATTAATTAATCAGTGTGAATTCAGTTCTCTAAGGATACCTGATCAAAGTCAAATATATTAAATGTGGCACAAGGAGAGAGTAAGGTCTACAAATAACAGAGAGAAATGTTTTTGCCTCAGCAAACTTTTTAGTAAGTACAGCTACAAAACATGTATCAAAGAGGTCTGGAATATATACTGATACACACTCAATGCCTTTGAATGCAAACAGTTCAGAATTTGCAAATGCTGTCTTTCTGGATCCAAAGTCAATCACTGAAAACTAAAGTACAGAAGGTCTGGCACAGGAATCTACATGGTTATATAATTACATCTAAAATTTGCTTCCACATAACTCACAGGAAGCTATAAATGGCTGATGAATCAACATTAGGATGGTTTGATAATTAAGTTGTATTGCATATATACAGGAAAATCAATATATTTTTCTCTATATGCATGAAATAATCTCTATTAAATTTATCTTAGCCCACAGACCTTAAGAGGATCATTTAAGAATCCAATTGCCTCAAATTTAATAAAATTTTATGTTTCCCAAGCAGTGAGAGATACTTTTGCCTCCCCAATATTATGAAACAGGTAGAAACAATGTAAGTAAAATCTCTCCCTGAGCATGAACTGCTTAGCACTTCCTTTTTCCAAACTTACTGAGTTAAGGTACAGGAGGAAAGAAAAAAACAAACAAAACTTTCGACATTCTATCTAATCCATTAACACAAGTGTCATTAAAGATAGAAATGTCTGCTATGCCCTCTCCTAAGATACTAAGAATACTGTATTGGGGTGGGGTAAGATTTAGGGGATGAGGTCTTTCAGGAAGGCCTCTGATTCTATTTAGGATGTACTGGAAAGAGCACCAGGGAACCAGGGTAGTTCACAGGATAGAGGCTGGATTACTGTACTTTTGAGAAAGAGGCTCTCAGTTAACCATTTGCTGAACTGCAAAAGGCCAAATGTGGGCTATCATAAAAGTATACAAACCCTGGGGGCGTTGAGTGACAAGGGGCACTGCACCAACTGCATTCCACAGTTTCTTCTCTGGTGAACTGGGATGTGGAACAAAGAAAAGAACAGACTCCCCAGCATGCACAGACACACACACATCCTGCCTTAGAGATATGAACCCCCAACCTAGACCTGTCCCCCTGGAGAGACAAATGTCCTACGCCACTGAGGAAAGCTCACTGGGGAAAGTGAGCAAAACCCCTTTCCCCAGAACATGGGCAAACTCCCACTGTTGCTCAGGGAAGTAAACAACAGCATCTATTCCTGCAGGAGGATCAGGAGCCCAACCTGCACCTAGAGTAGAGAACTCCTGTCACTGGGAGAGGAGCCCCACCTCAACGCCCAGACTCATAGGGTGTCCCTGAGATGGATGCGGCATCAATGACAAAGAAGGTCCTCTTGCTTCCTGCCATGTACCTAGCCTGTTCCAAGCGACAAGCAATAGCAAGGAACACTGAGAGACCCTCTCTGGGGCACAGGCTCACAGGCAAAAGCTAGGCTATGAGTGATAGTGGTACACTTTTTTTAAAAAGTGATAACTCACCTACCAACCTAAGCACGAGGAAATTCTTTAAAATGTGAAACTGGTTTTGAACTGAGGGCAACCACAGCAATGACAAAACCCAATCCAAGTTCAACTCCTGACTAAATTTATACAACCCCAAACGATAGAAGAGAAGAGGAGACAGTTCTACTTCCAGGCATAAATACTACTAGTTCAGTGTTTACAGTCTTACATATAAAGGCTGGTTTCCAAGAAAATCTTGTATGGTACATAAAAAAGCAAGCAAACAACAGTAACGAAACAAATTCAGCTGTCACCCAGATGTTAAAACTACAGACATGGACAGTGAGGCACACATAGTTTCATGGTTTACAAGGAAAATAACAAGCACAAAATAGCATGGAGAAATCTTCTAAGAGGACTGGAACTGGAACTGATAAATGATCAATAACAACAGTGGAAGAACAACAGGTATCTGCCCAAAGAACTCCTCAAAGAATTCTGGACCAGGCCGGTAAACAGACAGGTGAAACATCGCAGAACCTCCTAAGCATACAGGAAGACAAGTAAGATGTCAAGCGTCTCCTACCAGAGAAGACAGGAGAACAAAGCCCATGTGCTTTGCTCATGTGTAAGCCGTATGTGTGTATGGAACACAATGTCATCACACGTGAAAACTATGTTAGGTATGATCACTGACGTAAAGATCATATTTGTGGTGAGTTTTATTTATATTTTCACTGTAATTCACACAGGAATTTATTTCTGCTATTTTTTAGATTTAGTAAGCAAACAAACAGTTGATGTAAAAAAAGTTGATGTTTATTCTATATACTCAGTATATATTTGGTATTGTATTTTATTGGTATTTCATCTTCCTGCTAAAGCTCCCAACAAAAGCGGAAGACAAGAGAGGTCACAAGTATAGCCTGTCAAACAGGAAAGGAAAGCTAAATACTCCTGCTGTCAGTGTGAGACTTCTGATTAGACTATCTTGCATATGTGAAGACTGCCTTCGGTGTGATAACTGATAAAGATAATTTCTGTGGTAGAGTTTTGTTTGTATTTTCATTGTAGTTCACATAGGATTTATTTCTGCTGTCTTTTTCATGTCCTGTAAGCAGGTAAATAGTTGATGTTGAAAATGCTGATGTTTACTCTACACACTCATTACATAATAAAAATGTAATCTTTATTTTATTGATATTTTCTTTTCCTTTTAAGTACACAGTTTAATAAAACTCATAAAATTAAAATTAATAATTCATTAATGGAAGTATTCCTAAAAAATAAATGTGGGCATTACACACCTTTTCTATAATTTTGCTATGACCCCTGAGCTACAGAACTAATGCCCAGAATTTGCCAAATGTAATGAAAGATATCAAACCACAAATGCAAGAAACTCAAAGAACATTATTATAAAACAAAATAGAAAAACAAAACAAAAATAACATGTACATATAAACAAACCTTAAATCAAGAGGAAAAAAGCTATACTAAAGAAACATCACAGATTACAATCATATGTCTAATTAGAAACTTATTCAATCCAGAAGATAATGGAGTGACATCTTAAAAGTATTCACCAAAAAAAAAAAAAAAAAAAAAAGTGTCTCCACCAATTCAGAATTCTATCAATGATAGCATCTTTCACAAGTGAAAGAGAAACCAGGTATGGCGGTGCATGCTTGTAACCTCAGCACCCAGGATGCCGAGGCAGGAGGATCACCAAGAGATTTCAAGGGCAATCTGGGCTACATATTATTAATATGCCTCTACTGCAAAGCAGAAGAATCAGAAATTCCCCTGCATGAGAAGTGAAGAGTGCTGGAAATGGTGATTACAAAGGGAAGTCTCTCTGCCTGCCTGCCTGCCTGTCTCTGTGTCTCTCCCTCCACACCTTTTAACTACTCTAAAAACAACTGTTCATGGGAAAACAACAGCCACTCATGGTGTTGATGGCAAATGCAAAAGTAAATTCGTGACAATACATTGGGAACAGGAAGTACACTGGTAGAAATTTGCTATTCCACAAATGAAGCTAAATAATGAGAGTTGAAGGTAGACTGTAACTAAAGATGTATATTGAAAACCCTAGGGTAACCATTAACATTTTTCAAAAAAGAGGTAAAATACTAAGGCAACTGTAAAAATAAAACAATAAAATACTCAAATAATCCAAAAGATAGCAAAAAAGATAAAAACAAAAAGTGAATGAAAAAAAAACTATCAAAGTGTCAAATTTAAAGTCAACTATATCAATAATTATATCAAACATAAATGGTGAAAAGTACCAATCAAGAGATAAAAAAATCAGATTAGACTTTTAAAAACTATCAAACTATATACTATCAAAATTAATCTATTTTAAATAAAAAGACACAAAAAATAATGCAATGTGTCATATAAACACTAATGAAACTTTTAAGAGCTATATTAATAAGGCACATTAGACTTTAAAACAATGAATATTATTATTATAGACAGCTGAATTAGGTAGAAATATTACAGGCAGTCAAATAAGGCTGAGTCCTTGAGAGAGTCAGGACAAAGGCAAAACATATCACAAGCATGGTTGGAGACACATCTGTTGGAAACAAGACAAAGATAGATGACCAAGCCTGCATACTTCCTCAAAGGACAAACACTGAGCCTAATGAAGTCTAAATAGACATCAGTCACCTCAGAGGGTGACCAGGGCCTCTGGACCCACCATTTCCCAAAAGAAGTCTTTGTTTTTTCATCCACACTTGTTATGTGACTTGTTTCCAACTGGAACACCATTACCTAAGTGACTATACTTACAATTTTATTGGTTGGTCATGGCTGTGGCCCACATTGTACCCACGTTGGTTTTC